CATAATGTTCAGCCCTTTGCTCAGTGCAAGAGTCCCAATTAAAGCATTCCCATGCACTACTGCTTAACCTCTTTTGGAAAGATCCCTTGGTAACTGGTTACCACTATTGAACTCTTCTTACTTCTTGGAAGTTTTCCCTATCATTGGAAAATTCCATAAATTGGAATATGTCTTCTTGTATCTTAATCCTTTATGCCAAGTACTGCACTCTGGAGTAATAATGAATAGGTTGTGAACCGCTGAATGATGTTCTTTCAGATATTTGAAGACTGCTACCATAACCTACCTCCTGCCTTCTGTCAAGACTCAGTTCCTTCAGTCTTATCATAGGCCATCATTTCTGCTCCCTTTTTCATCTTTATTGCCTTTTGCTAAACCTGTTCTACTTTGTCTGAACCCTTCTTAAAATGTGATGCCCCAAACATGAGACATTTATTACTTGAGATGGGGTTTGATAAATGCAGAGCAAAGTGGAATTTTTACTTCTTAAAATATGGAAACTGTACATCTGTTTTTGCAACCTAAAACTTCATTTGCCTTTTGTTGTACCTTCTTAAGAATACTGACTCTTCCTCAGTCAATTATTACTCTAAAGTATTTTTTCACAGGGCCTATTGCCATGTTAGGAATTGCCCATTTGACACCACCCATGTGTTTGATTCCTACTTCCTAAGAGGTAACTTTTCATTTGTCTTCATTAAATTCCATTCTTTGACTTTCCAGTCTATTTGACTTTCTTTAACCTACAGTACAAAAATTCTAGGATTTTTGTTTTCCCTCTTAATTTAATTCCCTGTAAATTTAATAAGCATTTCCTTTACCTCCTCCAAGTAATGAAGAAACATGTTGAAGTGATTAACCCTTGTGGCATTCGACTTGATATTTTCCTCCTGTTGATGCAAAACTGCTAATGAGCATCCTTTGAGTATGATTTTCAGGACACCTGGTCATGTCATTCATCCCACACTAGACCAAGTCCTAGGGTAGCACTGTTTTCATCAGACCACGAAAAGCCAGTAGGTTGTCCCCTGAAGAAGTGCTAGAGAAATCTTCTATTCGCACTTCACATGTGCTGCTGAAAATATGGGCTGAGAATGTCTTTTTCCAAAATATTCTTTAAAAATATGTATATTTGGCTGGAAGTATAACAGCTCAGTTCTGAGCAGTTCTCAGGACAAGAAGGAAAAGAACACGAGCTGAATGGCAATGCTAACACTTGTGGGGGTTCTTCCTAATGAAAGTGTCCAAATCCTTTTTAACGCCTTTGTTACCAAGCCACAAATAGCACTAATATTCCCACTTGGGTGTAGGAATAGTACACTGAATAAATCTTGGCAATTTAGGCTTACATACCATGTGGCAGCCAGGCTTTGAGGGTGAAGCTGTGAAGTGTGTGGGTAGAAGGTTGTTGGTGAGCAAAGGAGCTGGCTGCCAATGCCGTCAGGAGAGGTGAGGCAGCATTTTCGTGCTCATAAAAAGCTCATAGCTTCGCCCATAGAAATGTAGATAGTTTCATAATTTTTTGAAGCCCCTTTTCTCAACCTGGGTCCTTGCGTGCCAGAGAGTTTAGCTCACATTCTCCTTGATACTCATCATCTTGGTGCAATTAGTTATAGCAGTGGGACCCGGGTGGAAGACCCCAAGCTATCGAAGACTCTTGTGTGAACACAGATGACAATGGGCATATAGTGTCAGCATAGAATTGGGTTGCGGATTTGAGCAAGGCTGACTTAACTTCCTAGGGCTGCTTTAGGTGAGGAAGACAGTGACTGAACTAAGTGCCTCTGTTCAATTGAGCAAGCAGCTTTCCATTCTTCCCCGTATCTGCTTGAAAATGCAGAAAATACATGGTTTTAACTTATTGTTTGAATAAACTGCAGTGGTTGGGTTCACACAATGCTCTACAGTATGTTTGTTGTAAATGATGTGCAGCAGATGAATTCACACACTAGAATAATCCAGAATCAAGAAAACCACATACAGTAACTGCAGAATGTGGCCCCTGCTGTAATATATTCTTGTTTTGGGAAAGTGGGTGCTTGGACCCTGGCACAGTTGGGCTTCCTTCTGTGAGCTTATGCTGAATTGCTCACTAGGGAAGTGGTAGCAAATCTAATAGAGGCTCTGCAAATGTAAAACTTGCCTATCTCTCTTACACTGACCAGCATTGTCTGTCTGTTTACAGAGAAAGCGTTCCCATCAGCACTGCCATCGGTTCCCCAAAGCCCTAACCTAGCAATGGGAAGAAGTTGGGCTGGGTGCTGGTGTTACTGGTCATGCCAACCCAAGTATCCAAGAACTTGGGCAGTTGAAGAAAAGAGCAAAGGTCGTGTCCGCGAACTTTCCCAGCATTCTCCTTTCCTCCATCGGGCTCCTTTAGGGGCAAGAACTCCTTCTTCTTCTTCTACTTCTTCTACTTCTTGTTTGTGAAAGGCTCAAGAGTTCATCTTCGCATCTGAAGAGAACCGTTTCCATGGCTGGAACTGCCAAGGGCTTACCGAAGACTGTTGACTGAAAGTGTGGCAGCACGCAGACATCGGCTCCCACCAGCACCATTCCAGACTGAAGTAGGGCCAACAGGAGCACTTGGATTTCCAATTTGTGCCGTAGTGCAGGCCAGGGGGACTGAGGGACACTTATGGCCCCATCGGCATGAATAGGTTGCAAGGAAGGCAGAGACGATTTCGCCCGCAGAAGTAAAGCTTTCCTTGCCTCTTTGCAGAAGAGGTGGGAGAAAGTGGGATCTCCTTCATCCCCCTCCAAGCTGGAATCTGAGAAGGACTTTAAATTCAGAGCCTGTCAAGAGAAATCTCTGAGGCCCTACCCTAATTCCCGGAGTAAAGATGGTGATGTCCCACGGCACCTACACCTTCCTCACCTGCTTTGCTGGCTTTTGGCTTATCTGGGGGCTCATTGTGTTGCTATGTTGCTTCTGCAGCTACCTGCGACGCCGCATGAAACGGAGACAGGAGGAGCGGCTGCGGGAGCAGCACCTGCGCACATTGGAAATGGAGCCCTTGCATTATGAGGGCTATGGGAGCCCTGCCTACGGGGGAGGTTATATCAGAAGCCCACCAGGCATTCCTGTGCCCCACCGACTCCGCATTGAGCCCCACCACCCTCAACACCTCCCACCCCCGAGGCCTTGGAGCTGTAGGCATGGTAAGAGCCAAAAGAGGCCCTTGTGATGACTTGTGGCTGCTTCTTAAGGGGTGAAAAGCGGTGTGTGTGTGGGGGTGTGGCTTGCCAGTTTCAGTGGGAGACCAGGAAGAGCTGACACTGACTTGAAGGCATGTAATCCTCAGTCGATGCAATACACGGGTTTTATGCTGCTGGCTTAAAACCCCGTAAGTTAGCCATACTTGTCTTTTGTAGTTGAGAGATGTTAAGTCTTCAAAGGGTTAGTCTTCCATACTCCGCCTAATTTCAGTTCCTTTCTTACGGAATGGGAGGGACTCTCAAGATAGTTCAAAGGGTTCTATCAGTTTCATGATGCCCTATGTGTGAAGATGCTTCTTGAAGAGGAAAGGTGGATAGGGAATTCCTAATCCTCCCCCAGCACCTCAGATATGACCTGGCTATAAGAAAGTTGAAGGAAAGGAGGGGGAAATCTTCCTCCCGCCATTGTTCCTACTTCATCCAGTATTGCTATAGAGAGAGAGAGAGCTTAGGACTGGAATCTCAGTCAGTGGGCATTGTGGGAGTGTTGTTACCAATGCAACTGTTGCTTCCACTCAAATGGCTGCGATCCTTTTGCTTGCAGAACCAGACCCATCTAAGCCTCCTTGCTACGAGGAAGCAGTGCTGATGGCTGAGCCGCCACCCCCATACAGCGAAGTCCTGACAGACACGCGTGGCTTATATCGCAAGATCAACGCCCCCTTCCTGAGCCACGAGCAGCCAGAGAAGCAGGAGCAGCCGCCCAGCTATAAGCCCCTTTTCCTGGACCGGGGCTACGGCTCAGCCCTCCACCTGCCAAGCTCAGCCGGGCAGGGTCCCACCTGCACCAACCTCTACTTGGAGTCTGAGCACTCACAGCATCTCTTCCCAAGCTGGACAGACTCTGAACTCAGCACCAGAGACAGCTACGAGCCCAGGCCCTGGCATCTGCCCGTCTCAATGCCTTTGTTTGGCAGGACTACGGCAGTGTAGCGTGCCACATTGCAACCTATGAGGGACGCTGGTTGCTGCATGGATCTGAGCAGCCTCTTCCCTTGGCCTGTGGGGGCCACCAGGCCCCGTAGTGCAAGCCTTCCAGACATGCCTGGGCCGCAGTCTTCACAAGCGCAAAGATCCCCATTGCAACTGACCTCTTTGGCCAGGGCGAGATCGGGGCTGGTCTCCCCATCTCACCCACTTCCCTTTCTCTGGGCCCACTACTGGCTCTGTTGGTGCTGACTGTAAGGGGTTGGCCTAAACTGGCTTGGCCTAAACTTTGTTAAAACGATCTTTTGTTTGTTACATTTTGACAACAATAAAGTTTGTGGAACCTGATTTATTACAAACCTGGTACTGGCTGCTTGAGTCTGTGCACAAGAAAGGCGGATGTGGTTTTTCCCTTTAAAGCAATCCCACATGTACAGTGGCACAAAGTTGAAGCAAGCCCACCCAAAAAGACACAGCAGCCATTGGGACAGCCTGTTCCAGGGCAGCATTCCTTTACTACCAGCGCCCCCTAGTGGTGCCTTCTTTACCCTCATTGGACAGATGTTTACCACCATTCCTCCGTGCTCCCTTACCACATAAATGCTTGCTGGCCCACATAAATTTTAAAAATTGCACAATCCTCCCTCCCCAACACTTTTTATAAAGTACATTTCTAACCATTTATGGTAGCAGAGAAAAGGATGCCTCCAGAACTAAAAACAAACAATAGATTTGTTCTCAATGGTTTCCTGTAGAACTCAGCCGACTTGCAGTTCTTCAGCAATTGCCCCCCACACTTCTCCCCACCCCCTTTTTTCAATAAAGTCATCCTGGATTTCAAAGCCAGCTGCCCTGCTTGGAATCAATTTATTTATTAACATACATAAGCACATTGCTGTTACAGAATTTGTGCTTTCCAAAAAAAAAAAAAAAACAATTACTGTACGGGAGGGAAAGGAAACGAAGCATGGAATGGACGAGGAGAGAAGAAAGAGAAAGGAGAAGGGTGCCCCATCCAGAGTGTCCCCTTGTCCCAGGCTCTCAGGGCAAATAAAAAGACCCGAGGAGAAGGGCCTGGAACAGGCTCGCTCTCAAGACAGACGGCCGCGGAGCGGAGCTGAGCTGAGCTGTGGGGGAAGGAACGTCTCTCGCTGCTAAGGTTTGCTGGAACCCAGAATGGGCAGGGCTTCTGCTTCCCTGGGAACAAGGCCTCTGGGGACCAAGTGGAGAAGGGAAGAGATGGAAGCCAGTGCCTTGCCCACACAGGGCCATTTTATTGCCATATTTTATTTTTAGATTCGTGCAAAATACTCAAAACTCTCTTGGCAGAGCCTGAGTGGAGGAAAGGCCCTCCCGCCCTCCCCCAAGAGCAGCACACCTCACCCCCATCCCAAGAGATCAACCCAAATGGCATAAATGGCATTGGGACAGGGGGGATCTGAAAAATCCCCATGGGCGAAGGCAACAGGAAAAGGGGTCTGCAGGGAAGCTACCAACAAAGAGGGGACCAGGCAGATTTACACATTTCCTATTTGACACCATTAGAAAAAGAGAAAGAGAGAGAGAGAGAGAGAGAGAGAGAGAGAAAGAGCGCGCACTGGAAAAAGTTACCCCCCCCTCCCAGATTTTTCTATCTGGCCGGGGTACAATCTGAGGCCATGGACCGCAGGGCTACAATATGGAGCAAGGGGGCACCAGGCCCTCACTGCGGCTGCTCCAGGCTTGCAGACACTGGACTTGCTAGGTGCAGGGTTGAGGAGTTTGGCCTGAGAGTCAGCCTTAAACACTGCCCCCAAAGCTCTCCTCCTCTTCTGGCACTGGGTCAGCATCCCAACAGGTGATGTCAATCTCTGAGGGAAGAGAAAGAAGAAGAAGAAACAAACAAACAAACAAACAAAAACAAAAGATTAGCTCCAAGCAGGGTTGGCTGTTTTTGCCTTCTCCAAGGAAATCGCTAACGCTTCTATTTCAGGAATCCCGAGGGGAGCCCATTTTATGCCTCGACAGAAGGTTAAAGTGTGTTCAGGCATTAAGAATGTCTGACTGAGCAGCTGCAAGGGAGATGCATCCACCAGATCCACCTCTTCATCCCCTCCGTCGCTGGGGAAGCCTGAAGGACAGCGGTGGTCCTGCTTGAATGAAGGAACCATGATCCACACGATAGGACGGCATTCCCAGAGTCCCCAGTCACATGAAATCCTGTTTCCATGTCTGGCCTAACTTTGTTCAGACGTTCCCTGTCTATGAGGACAAGACGACCATTGCAAGGCCTACGTGCATCTGTTTATATTGCCCTCACAATTGGCCACTCTTGGAATCACAGAGCTGTAAAGGTCCACAGAGGTTATCTAGTTCAAACTAGATAAACTAAAGCATATTTGGGAACTGACCTCTACCTCAACCAAGAGAGAACTCATTACCTCAGGCTGCAGCCTGTTCTCAGGCTGACAGCTCCTACAGGCAGGAATTTTCCTTATCTCTAGCCTCAGCCTTGTACTTTTACCCCATGCTGGCTGGGAAATTCTGGGAGTTGAAATCCACGCATCTTAACATTGCCAAGCTTGAAAAAAACACCAATCTAGATTCTACGTTCTTCCCATTAGTTCAACTCAGGATAGCTGTTTATCCAGCAGAGTTGGAAGGGACCTTGGAGGTCTTCTAGTCCAACCCCCTGCTTAGGCAGGAAACCCTATACCATTTCAGACAAATGGTTGTCCAATCTCTTCTTTAAAATTTCCAGCGTTTCACGCTGGTGGCTCATGCTTAACTTGTGGTTGACAAAGACACTCAGATTCGTTTCATAGGTACCACTGCCAAGCAAGGTCTACTAGAGTTTATATTTGTACCTTACGTTTTTTTTCTATCAAATGCAGAATTTTATATTTCTCCCATTTAAATTAATTTCTTGTTTTTTTTTAGTATGGAATGGATTTATCTAAGACCACCTATAAATATCAGAGCCTACCTGGGGGCTTATTGTAGAACACTGGAGGAGGAGCTTTAGCAGAGAGTTCTTCTGATTGGTTAAAATCTTCATCTTGTGATTGGCTAAAGTAGCCCTCGCTGGTCTGGAAGAGAAAATCAAATTGTTGCACGTGCTCTCCTTTGAAAGATGCTCACGGTGTCTATTCCTGCTTTATGAATACCAAATAGCATCCATCATCTGTGCTTGCCTGTTCCACATCATTACAATTTGCACAAAAGGTTGCTATTCATTAACACACATTTGAAAATAAGGGAAGGCCCGTCTTTTCACAACTCTCATTGTACAAAAGTGTTGTAAAAAAAAAAAATCACTAAAAATTAATTAATCCACATGAATGGAACAAACACTGTTTAAAACTGCATAGGAATTCATCCATCTTTTCGTTCATTTACAGTAAAGGAAACTCTAGATATCACTTCTCCAGTAGCAAGGTTAGCAAATACTTCAAGTTCAGAGAAAATGATAAATTTAAACCCAAACTAACAAAACCCACTAGTTTTCTTTGTCTATCATTCTATGCTTCTCAATCATACCTCTGGAATGATATGACAGCCTGGTTTACACCATAAGTTAAGACAACAGCTGGGTCGTCACCATGCTTCTCAACCATCATAAGCCACTCAAATTTCTTTCAGCTAATCCTGCCTGTGAAAGTGTGCCACGGGAAGCCGTGCTATAGTAGCACCACATGCAAGCTTGGTTCTGCTTCCGAAGGCCGGCATGGGGATTGCAAAATTTGCTTTGGAGCCTCATCAGCCTTACCTGCGTGCTTTCCTTTTGGGCAGTCTCCCCATTGGTGAGCAGTTGGGGCTCCTGGTGCACCCCAGAGGCCTCCTGCAGGGCATGCTGGTAGCTGAGCGTCATCTGATGTAGCCCTTCAACAGCAATCATGCTGGCTGGCTCCTCATCCTGATCCGCATCACAGAAAGTTGCTGGGGGCTCCGGCAGGTCATTGAAGTTCAAGAGGTTATCTTCAGGAAGGCCTGCAGAAGACGGGGGCTCTGGTGCCCCTGGAGGGACATCCACCTCGACCAGCATGGGGGCAGGCATGGGAGGCCCGTCGCGAAGATCCCATGGGGCTGGAGTGGGAGGTCCACCCTGCTGGAGCTCCCAGGCATCCGGAGGGTTGGGTTCCACAGCGGTGCTGTCGTTCTGCCACAGGTCAAGAATGTTCTCAGAGGGAGGCGCAGGCGGTTGTGAAAAACCAAAGGCCTCCCCCAGATCCAAAGCCTCCTCGCTCTGCACAGAGACTGGGGCTGCTGGGAACTGAGGCTCTTCTTTGGGAGGCGGGGCTACTGGGAAGAGAGGCTCTTCTTTGGACTCTGGGAGCACCATGTCTTCAACGGGGCCAGTCCCACTTGGCTGTGGTTCTGTCCAGTCGGGGCCTTGCCAGGCTGTAGCCCCAGGAGGCTCTTCTGCTTTCTCCACTGGTTGTTCTTCACTGGGGGGAGCCCAGTTTGTAGCAGATGCCATGCCTGTCTCTTCACTGCTCGGGCTGGAGGAGTCTGCAAGAGGGAGGAAGCAAGAGGGGTGGTGGTGTTTGGAGGGCGGCAGAGGGCCGGGGCCTCCACGAACTGGACAGAATGCAACGATAACCAACATCCTGCTAATTTGTCTGGGGAACAGAGACAACACTGACTGTGGAGACAGGAGCAGGGCCTACCTTTTAAAGCATCCTGTTGCGTCACCTCATCCAGGGCACGCTCAATCTGCTCACCCACTGGCGTGGAAGCCGTACTGGAGTCACAGGGGCTACTAGCAGAGGCAGAGGCCTTTCTGTGTGTTTCCGTCTGGCTGCCTGTGAATGAGCCACATAGGCACTCAAGAGGGAGCGGACAAGGCAAAAGCCACAAGTCCCTGAGGCGCAGGGCCCCCCAAGTGCATACGGAAAAAGATGTGGCACCTTCACTTGAAACCAAAAGAGCTATACGACCTAACCCCATCTCCAAAAAAAAAAAAAAAATACATGATTTCATAGCCGAGCATAGAAACCCAGGGTCCTCCCCGTAATCTCTCTCTTTCTCTTCCTCCTAGAACAGTATTACAGGGCAAGGCTGTCCTCCTTTTCTTTTCGCTGACAAACATGCTGGAAAGTGAAGCGGTGTAAGCCCCCCCTCCCCCTTACATTTCCTGCTTTTGATGGGGCCAGGTTGACAAAAAGCAGAAGGCGCTCTGGAATCACAGAACAATAGAGAAGGGCCTGACTCGAGGGAATGCAAGGCTACAGCTGCAGGTTTCCCTGCTGCCAGATGACGTTTTTAAAATAACAGGCTATATCCATCCATCTTTCAGCTGCTTTCGGAAGCACAGCCCACAGCAAGCCATAGGAGAAGACCGTTGTGCCAGATTCTCAGGGTCCCCAAACCACACGCGGGCAGCCAATTAACCCAGGACTGCTACCCCTTGGCTTTTCCCTGCCAACACAACCTATACAGAGATCCTCCTCCCCTCCATCCCCAAAATGCTGTGTTGTTAAATGCTGCCGCCCGTGCTTTAGCTTCCAGCAAATGAAATTTACTTCAAAAGCTTAAAACTGGGGTTGCCCCAGGGGGTGTTAGTACTTCGGCCTGGGAAACCAATGGTTGGATGTAGGAGTTTTCCTGGAGCAACCCAAGATTGCGTTAATGGGGAGGGAGGGCACATGAACGGAGAAACTCTCTGACGATTGTTACTGTGGAAACCTCGTTCAAGACCTCACTCTTCCCAGCACCGTTGCTTTCATCTGAAGCGAGGAGGCGCTGCTTTTCTGCAACAATGCGATGCTGTGAAACAACCCTGCGGGTTTTGACCAGGGTAGCACCTCCCCCAGCCCCTCCTTGCTAACGTTATAGAAGCTTTTAAATGCCAAGTTGCTCCGGGGAGCCTTTCCCTGATTCTGTCAAGACATCTCGTTTTTTTAAAAAACTCTTTATAGTGTTGGTGAGATTGTCTTATTGTTTTTAATTGCAACGGTTGTTATGTTCGCTTTCATACTTTATGTGAGCCGCTGAAAAGTCCCTGAAATTGTGGCAGAACAGAAACGGTGTCAATAAATAAATCCATGGGGGGGGGGTGGCTATAGTTTGATGATGATGATGATGCATGCAGCTAGCCCACAAGGAGGATGCCAAAAGAAGAGCCAATCCCTGAGCTTTCGTGAGCCAGTCTGTGATGGGTACTTCCTGCACAGTGACAGGCTCCTGGTTCCTGCTTTCAGAGGCGAGATGAGATGGAACAGGGCAAAAATAAGGGAAAAAAAGCATCTGAGGCCCCTTTTAGAAGCCACCTCTGCAAACCAACTTCCCAAAGCCCAGCCGAGACCTGGCTACCTACATGGGAAGAAGGAAGAGAGGTTTGGTGTGCGGTGGCAAGTGATATAGGGGAAGGGAGTCCGTGGAGGGGAGGAAGAGGAAGAGGAAGAAGGCGGCCCACTGTCAGGTGTCTTTATGAAAGGACAGTGCAGACGACCTGCTGAGAGAAAGACAGACAGACGGACGAAGACAAAGAAAGCAGAAGAGAACAGTCAGTCTTCCGTCCAGCAGCCCACTCCATTACCCACCCCCGTCTCCTGCCACTGGGCGGGCCGTACTCAAGTCCAGGGCCAGAGAGCAGGGAAAGAAGGCAAGTCCCTGAGAAGCCAAAGAGAATGAGAGGACACTGCCAGGGCCAGTGCAGGAGGAAATGGGAAGCACAGTTGGGGACTATGGAACGGGAGGGCCAAGACAGATCAGCGTGAAGGGCTTGAGCAGCTATGCAGGAAGGTCGAGGGAAGAAAAGAGAGAGCCAAGAGGCAGGAGATGTCAGTAGTGATGGGAAATGAATTTCCACTTGAAGTAACTATATCTGAGTCCCCAGAGAGCAACCAAATAGACAATATGGAGGTCCACAACGTAAGGCATAATGCAGAAGATTTCAGAAAGTACGGCTTTTGACTTACTGCGGGTAGGGACAGAAGCGGTTAGCCAGCTCTTGGGATCAACCCAAAAGGAGACAGAATAAGTCACGGTAGAGGTGTAGCAAAGGATCAGTAGACTAACAATGGCTGCCCTGAGCTGCCTACCTCCCATTCCTTGCAGAAGCAGCTCAGGAGATTGTAACATGCATTAAGTCTATTGGCCATCCCAGCTCATCAATCTGACTTCATTTAAAAAAAAGCAAACCCTTCACTTTAGCTCCATCTCTCAAAGACGGCATCTGTGTCCTAAGCAGAAAATCTTATTTGCTAGTCAGTGGGAAAGGATACTCTCTGCTGGCCCTGCACTTCTTATCCAATTACAGCCTTCGCACACACCCCACCGCCTCTCCCGTCACACTATGAAAAACTAATTCTCCCAGAAGCCAAGATGCCCCCCCACCCTTTCCAGCAACAAGGATTATTTTATTTGATAATTCGAACCTTAAGTGCCTTCTGAATAGTTTGCTAAACAATTTGATTTTCATTGTGCAAGGATAGTGACATGAGCTCGGGTTTTATTGGATCTTATATATTATTGTTTTGGGACCACCTGGAGTCTGGTGATAGGAGGAACAGTATTGAAATATTAGAATAAATAAAGCAACGCTTTTCATCCCTCATCACGCTTCCCGTACTATCCATGACCGGAAGTGCAAATGCTTTGCAACATTAATATGTAGTGCCTCTCTGGAGAGGAGAAACTGAGCAAGTAGGTTAAAAAAAAAAACATGCTGTGACATCATGATTTAAACTCCTCCCCTTGTACATTTGGTGAATATAATGCTGTATTGTGATGTCAAACACTTAAGTTTGTCATTCTGGGGTCACTCTGGTTAGGAATGGAGGCCTATGCCTGTACGCATTCCAAATTTCAAAATGCACCTACATATCAAATTCTATGGAATAACTGGATTCAGTCATATTCCGTGTGAGTCTGACTTTCAAAACCTGTTCATATGCTAAATGGAATGGTGTCCTTCTCTTTGTGTTAGATGGCACCCCCCCTTTTTAAGTTAGATTATATAAGGTGCTTAAGGTGCTTGCCTATATGTAAAAAAACAACCACCACCCAGCCTTGTCTTTTGCTGCCACAATCGTTCTCTGCCTAGATTCTCCCGGTGTCAGAAGTCGCCATGGTCTCTGGACATGCCATGTGTTTTAAACATCAAAGTGCACTTTCTCACTTCCCAATGCAAAGACCACCCAAGTGTTGACAATAAACCTCCCCCCCAAAACCCGCATGGCCACGTAGGGTTATGTCCCTCTCGAACCGCCACGGTTGCATTTTTACCTCCTCTTTGCAGAGCAGGAGACCTCAAAAGCGCCCTACCTGTTCTGTTGAAGGGTGAGGGTGTTTCGGAGCTGGCCGAAGCCACTCGTTCTTGCTGCCGGAAGAACTCCCGAGGGTTCTCAGGCCGCTGAGCAATAATGGCAGCTGCCTCCTACCAGGAAGGGAGGGGGAGGGGGAGAGAGAGACAAGGGTCAAGCACGGCACAGCCCTTACTTTTTTCTTCGTCTCCCCGCTGCCTTAAATACAGACTGAACTCTCTGCCCTCATCCTTTCCATGCAGCCGCCAGGTCAAGAGTGACAAAAGGAGACACACGTGCCACGCATATGCAATGGGCCCCCCCATGCCCCTCCAGCAGGAACAATGGCACAGAGTGACATCAAGAGCAACAGCACAACGAACTGGCTTCCAGCGAGATGAATACAAAGCAAAGAACACGCACGCGCACGCGCACTCACACACGTTGATTCCCCCAAGATAAAACTCAGGCCCAACCCTGCTGCTTAAGCACAGACTCCACTCATCGACGCACAAAACTCCAACTAGATCACGGCCATCAAAACTGAATCCTACCTTTCCCTGCTGAACCTTTGCACACAATGCCACAACCTCATGCAGCAGTACCCTAGCAGGGCGCAATGGGAGTCTTTTGCCTAGACAATGCATGCTGTGCCCCGGGGCCGCACTCACCTCCACCTCCGACTCAGACTTTTTGGGCTGCTGCCTGTCTTCATCGTCCTCCTGCTCCCCCTAGGGAGAGAGGTCAGCGTCAGCCCCAGGGCACCTCAAGCACACCAAAAAGCCCTACTTATGCCCTGACCTAGCGTTAAGCTGGAGCAAGGGAGAGCCCTTGGGGAAAAAACGCCCTCTCCCTGGCTGCAGAATCAGTCCCCAAAGTCCCCAGCCAGCCTTTGGCGATCCATTCTTCCTCCTGCCAAGATCCTGTGTGGGGAGCCGGCTGCACAACTGGGCAACTTCCACCCAGCTCCTGAAGCTTCACTTACAAAGATGGATTGCTCCTTCAATCGCTGCTTGGCCTCTTCTGCTTCCAGGCTCTGCTGCTTTCGCCTAGTGGTAAAAGAAAGATGGACGTTTGCGACACGGACTCAAGAACCCTAGGCAGAGGTGACAGGCTGTTTGAGTTTCCTAACATTAAATCTGATGTCCACAATTCAGTATTCACATCCATCCAGAGACCACGGAGAGCATTTCATGCTCTGGGATATTTTTTGTTTTTGTTTAAATCAAACCTGTTACTGTGTCTTCGTTCAGTGTTCATTAAGAGGTCCAAATGTTTTCATTTGTCTTATATCTTTCATTGCTGAAAGTGGAAGTCCATTCTAAAACTGGCTTTGCATCTCTGTTTTCTGGCAATAACCCCTTTGCAGCTGAGGGAGGAGGCACAAATGTAATAATTTATTTGGCAGCAAGAATTAAAGGGGACAATGGCGATCATAATGATGTCATCACCAAAGTGGATGGAGAAATTTCCAGCCCATTTCCCCCCCCAAAAAAAAATTGTGGAAACTCTGAGGGTAGTTGGTTTATAAAAATGTTTAAGTTCCTGCCAGAATTCAGCAGAAAATTATACAGACTCTTACTCAGAGCTTAGAAATTATAAACATCCTTTCACCTGTGGATTGCTCACATCCATTTTACCTTGAAGGATCCAAAGTGAAAAAAACATTGCTGCCATTATTATATTCTATTATATTCTAGGTTTAGTTCTGGACAAATTGTTTTGCAAAAACATCATATTTCAATTCTCAACCTACCTTAATACCTTCCTTTAAAATTGTTGTTTATCTTAATGTTGTTTCTGTGTACAGTATTACATTTTATAACTCAGGCTATTACTTTGTTTTTTGAAAAGCATGTTTCATGTTTATTGTTTGATTTTGTATCCTGATGACGGCTTGAAAGTTAGCCAGTCTTCACTATTTCCTACAAATGATGACGTATTATTCTTTTAATTTAATTCTTCCTAAGCCTTCAGATATAGCAATAGTATTTAGACTTATATACCTCTCCATAGTGATTTATGCTCTCTAAGCAGTTTACAGAGCCAGCATATTGCCCCCCAACAAGCTGGGTCCTTATTTTACCGACCTCAGAAGGATGGAAGGCTGAGTCAATCTTGAACTGGTCAGGATTGAACTGCTGGCAGTGGGCAGAATTAGCCTGCAATATTGCATTCTAACCACTGCGCCACCGCGGCTCTTAGATATATTTATCTGTAATAAGTTACAGGTGGTCCTTGAGTTACGATCACAATTGGGACCAGAATATCTGTTGCTAAGCAAGGTATTTTTAAGGGACTTGTGCTTCATTTTACAACTTTTGCCACAGTTGTTAGGCAAATCACTGTAGTCATTAAGTGAATCATACAGCTGTTAAGCAAATCTGGCTTCCCTCATTGATTTTGCTTGTTGGAAGCCAGCTGCAAAGGTCCCAAATGGCCATCACAAATATGTGTAAATATGTGACCAATGAAGTGACCATGGAAATGCAGGTGCAACTGTCCTAGGTGTGAAGAAAGCAAGTCATTTTTCAGTGCTGTTCTAACATCAGATGGTTAAACAATGGTTCTAAGTCAAGTATCTGTATGAAGGTCATCCTCTGGAATACATCTGGGTTGCAGTCAAACTACCTCCATTAAAATTCCTTGACTTTCATCCATGTAATCATAAACTTATTTGCTGCTGGTACTTTAAGTTTTAACTGACCATAAGCACAGCTACTTTGAAGTAAGACCTACAGAGCTGAAGTTTGCAGGTTTTTTTGGCATTGAGTGATTAGAAATGCCATTTTTGCAAGTAGATAAGAACCTCTAAAGCAGGGGTCTCCAACCTTGGCAACTTTAAGACTTGTGGACTTCAACTCCCAGAG